CCGTTCATTTAGTGACCGAAGTTACAACGGCACTGAACGAAGGGACTTATGGCCATCTTTCACACTTAGGACCATTGCAGCATCACAGTTAGTCACGTAATTTGGACGCTTGGCAACTGACTCACATTTAGGACCGTTGCAGTGTCCTGAGGTCACGTGATCCCCTTTTGGGACCTTCTGACAAGAAAAGCTGGGCGGGGGGAGGAGCCAGGTTCACTTAACAACCGTGTGACTTACTTAATGACTGCTGTGGTTCACTTAAGGACTGTACAAGGAAGGTCGTCAAATGGGGCAAAACTCACTCGACAAATGTCTCGCTTAGCAACCAGAAACGTTGGGCTCAATTGCGGTCGTTTAGTCGAGGACTACCTCCATAAAGACAAGTCCTCGACTTACGACCACAACGGAGCCCCAAAACTTGCATTGCTAAGTTGTTAATGGGAGTTGTTGTTAATGGGAGTTGCGCTCCATTTTACGACCTTTTCTGCCAGGGTGGGTAAGCGAATGACTACGGTCGTTATGGGATAGAAAAACATTTTTACTACCGGTTCAGTGGGCGTGGCTTGGTGGGCGTGGTGTGGCTTGGTGGGCGTGGCAGGGGAAGGATATACTGCAAAATCCCCCTTTCCCTCCCCACCCCACTAACCTGCTTTCCAGCTCCATTCTCCTGTGCAGGGCAACCAAAGGAGACCCAGCCGATCAGCTGGGACTCAATGGGAGGCGGAGAAGAGATGGGGTTGGTGGGGCCAGTCAGAGGTGGGATTGGCCGATTCTCTGAACTACTCAAAATGTCCGCTACCGGTTCTCCAGAACTGGTCAGAACCGGCTGAATAACCACCTCTGCAACCCTCCTGAGTACAAGCCAGTTGCCAAGCCTCTGAATTTGGACCATGTAACCACGACGCCGCAACCGTCGTTCAATGCAAAATATGATCTGACGCCATTTTACAGTGCTGTTGGAATTTCGGTCAATAAACGGATGGTTGTAACTCGAGGACTGCCTGGACATCCTGACTACCGTATTAGCAAAGCATTCGATGATGTGTTTGAGGCCATATATTTGGGGAGATTTGTTTTAATTGTGGGCTGGACAGGATTAGGGTAATTAAAAAGACACACAGCCGAGCCCAGAATAAAAAAACTTAAGATTATCGGTCTATAAATCCTTCCATTTCC